ATTGGAGATAGGAGTCTCACGGTCTCTCCTGCCCGGGCTGGCTTTGAACCGCGATCCTCAGATCTCAGCCTCCTGAGTAGCTAGGATTATAGGCATGAGTCACTGGCGCAGGCTGAAATTACACTCTTGCCCCCCGCCGCTTCCGGGAGCGCGCACGCACGCACGCACGCTGTCTGTCACGGATCCCGCGGACCCGGGGCCGGGCCTCCCCCCAGGCCCCCCCCCCTCCTCCTTTGCCCGGCGCGCGCTGCCTGCGGGTTGGAACGCGGGCCCGGCTGGAACTCCGGGACACCCTGAGGTGGTGATGGGAACCGAATGGGGGTGGGGGGAAAGGTGGCGGCGGGAAAGGCCAGAGAGGCACATCCGGGGTTTTGGAACGAGTAAAGTAGGTCGGCGAGGGAGGGGGGGGGTGAATGAGGTGGAAAGGAGCGCGCCTGCGCGTCCCCGATGACCCAAGTGCCCGTGCGCGACGGCGGAGGGCTCGCAAGGCTAGGCGCATGCGCACGTTGGGGCGGGGCCCGGGCTTGCACGCTGGGGGCGGGACCACGGCTGCGTGGGGGGGGGGAGATACGTAGTCAGCCTGTGCAGCAGCCGGCAGGATGCATGCAGACCGACTTGATGGGGGGGGCGGGGACGCTTGACTTCCTCTTGTTTTAGGGGAACCCCCCTCACTCAGCCTGTGGGGAGCAGACTGGACGTGGCCTTCATTGGTCGCACCTACACAGCAGCTTTTAGGAGTTGGGGCTCACCCAATGCAGCCACAACTTAAAACGCTTAGACTTGTGATTTATAAATTTTATTCGACTTAGGTGGTGAAGAACTTCATCAAATATTCTCAAAAAAAGAAAATATACAAAAGCTACATAACACACACACACACACAAAAGTGCCAGGCACCAGTGGCTCACACCTGTCATCCTAGCTACTCAGGAGGCTGAGATCTGGGGACTGCAGTTCAAAGCCAGCCTGGACAAAAAAGGCTGTGAGACTCTTCGGCAATAAACCACCAAAAAAGGCAGAAGTGGAGCTGTGGCTCAAGTGGTAGAACATAGCCTGAGCAAAAAAGCTCAGAAACAGCACCCAGGCTCTGAGTTCAGTCCCAGAACCGGCACCAAAAAAAAAACAAACAAAAAATTAGACGACTAAACTTTCCCGACTCAGGGCCAGATTCTGCAAACAGAGAGAAAGAAGATTGTGAGCTGGGTGGGAAGGAGAAGAGGGGTCACCCACAGGGACCCAGAGCTGGGGGGGGGGGAGCTCTCACCTTCTTAAGCCTGCGCTCCCTGGAAGCCTGAGAATCTGTCTCAGAGTATGGAGGAGGAGCGGGAGGGTAGTAGCCTTCCTCCTCCTCCTCCTCCTCCTCCCTGTAAGGCCTTCTCTTCTCCCCTGGCCCCTTTTTTCTCAAGGCCTCTTCTATTAGCCGTCCATCATACTGGGGATCACTGGGCCTGGAGCCATCCTCTCGGGGTCGGGGATGGCGGGACCTGAGGTCAGTTTGAGGACGGTCTCTGGACCTGGCATTGTCGTAGTGAGGATCCCTCGAGGGTGGAAAGTCCCTTGGGTCATCTGGGTCGTAGAGGTCATCACGGCTGCGGCTCCTGGGGGGGGCATAGGCCCGGCCTCTCCTCCCACTGTTTGGGGGAGACCTTCTCCCTGATTCAGCAGAGCTGGGTCTGGTGTAGTCATCCAAGGCATCCACAGACCGAGCCCGAGGCCGTCCAGCCCCCCGGCCCCCTGTCCCTGGGCGCTCAGGGACAGTGTCTTGCTCCCATCTCCTGGGACTCCGGGGGGAGTGGCGACCCCACTCCTCATCCCGGATCGGGGTGAGGGCAGGACCCCTGGAAGGCCGGGCTCTCCAGTCGTCTTCATGAAGGGAAGTGACTTCACTCATGGCTGTAAGGGAGGACTGGGAGTCACTGATGGGGAGGGGTGGGGGGGGCACAGGAGGGTGGGTACTGTGCAAGAATGATCCATCCGCTGGCCCCTCCCCTACCTGGGGACCACAGGAGGGAAGGAGGGACTATACCGGAGGTGTGTAACAACCTTCCCCCTCTTCCTTCAGACCCCAGGTTGGAAAGAGGTGCTGCTCACCCCTCTCTACACGGCCATTGGGCGGTCCAGGTCGAGAGGGGTCAAAGTTGGCCAGCTCTTTCTCCATGTAGTACAGGACGCGCATGGAGTCATCTTGCTGGTTAGCCTGGATCCTGTAGCCACTACGGACTTCTGGGGACAGGAGGGGGAGGAGGGGGACACACACGATTGGCTTGGGAGGATGGCTGGGGTCCCAGCCCCTCCCTGTAGACAACCTCAGGATAACAGCTTCTCACCGGAGTTCACACTGCTGTCTGTGTCTCGAAGCAATGGTACGTGGGAGCCATGGCCAACTGCGGGGAGATGGCTGCTGAGGGTGGTACAGCTGGAGCAGGACCTTCTATCCCCCTCCCTTGCCAGGGCCCAGCCCCTCCCACCCCACCCTACCCCCAGGCCTCACCTGAGCTGTTCCGGTCAAATTCTCCAGGGTAGCCATTGTAGACGGGGCCCATGGGAATGAGGGCAGGTGGTGGGGGCGGGGTCTTGGCCGGGGAGAGGTGGGTGTAGATGCTGGGGGCGTAGATGCTGGGGACCCCTGACGTGGCTGCTTTGCCGGCGGCGTATACTGAGGGCACACAACGGGCATGAGAAGGCGGCCAGGAAGGCTGGGCAGCCGATAGATCCCGCCTGTCATTCCTAGCTACTCAGGAGGCTGAATCTGAGGATCACAGTTTTAAAGCCAGCCAGGGAGGAAAGTCTGTGAGCCTCTTATCTCCAATAAACTACTCAGAAAAAGCTGGAAGTGGCACTGTGGCTCAAGTGCTAAGAGGTGCTCAAGGATAGTGCTCAGGCCCCAAGTTCAAGGCCCAGGACCAAAAAAAAAAAAGTATCCAGGAGCCAAGCTGCCCTGTGCTGTGCTAGGATCTGGAGAATATGCCGTTCCTACGGATTTCTGCAGTACCCCATAAGGCTAAGGGTCGCTGGCATCCCAAGCCCTCGCCTCCTATGTGACTCCTGGAGCTTTCAGAAAGGGGAGGGGTGGGTATGCACTGGGAGCCCACCCCCCCCCCAGCTCACTTCACACACTTTGGCTGGACATTCCAATGGCATTCTGCCATTTGTCAGTCAAACTGTTTCCCATGCAATTGCTACTGTAAGACATTATCAAAGACAGATCTGTGCTTTTAGGGGATGGGCCACTGCTGCCTCTACAGCAAGTAACCCCCATGTTGGGCTCATCCCGGGCCCCTAGTTCCAACTCCTAGCCACCCCCCCAAGCACCCACCAGCTCCCTCCCTCCCTCCTCCCCCCCCCCAGCTCAAGGGCAAAGCCTTGGTTCCTTCCTCCCCAAGGTGGGAGGCTAGGTCTTTCCTGGTGACTGGGCTTGGGACAAGGTCACTGGCTTATGCAAATCACTTCCTCTTGAGGACTCAGCCAGGCTCCCATGTGCCCCTAGTTTCATTTAGAAGCTGAAGGCTTCAGCGCTCAACTCCACCCAGGAGAAAGCCTTCATTATCTCAAGTGACTTGCCATGGTATAATTAGCAGGGGGTAGCTGCCACTTCCTGTGGGCATTAGAAATAACAGGGAGGGATGGTGGCTCATGCCTCTAATCCCAGCCGCTCCTAAGGATGAGATCCTGAGGATCTGTTTAAAGCCAGCCCCAGCAGGAAATTCCGTGAGACTCTTATCTCCCAGTAACCAGCAAAAAAGTTGCAAGTAGAGCTGTGGCTCAAGAGCGTGGGCCTGGAGTAGAAAAAGTAAGAGTTGGCCTTAGGTTCAGCCATAAACTTCCTTATCTGGGAAAAGATTTATGTGTGAGAGGAGGCCTAAGGTTCAGCCATAAACTTCCTTATCTGGGAAAAGGTAGGTGTGTGTGTGCATGCATGCATGCGTACTTGAACTCAGAACCTTGCCCAGCTTTTTTTTTTTTTTGGGGGGGGGGTCCGGTCGTGGGGCCTGAATTCTGGGCCTGGGCACTGTCCCTCAGCTCTTCAGCTCAAGGCTAGCGCTCTACCACTTGAGCCACAGCGCCACTTCTGGCTTTTTTTATTTTTGCTTATGTGGTGCTGAGGAATCGAACCCAGGGCCTCAAGCATGCAAGGCAAGCACTCTACCACTGAGCCACCTTCCCAGCCCCTTGCCCAGATTTTTGGCTCACATGCTCTACCTTGTTAGCCACACCTAGCTTTTTTGCTGGAGATAAGTCTCACAAATATTTTCTGCTCAGAAACTTAGCTTTGAACCATGATCCTCAGAGCTCAGCCTCCTGTGTGGCTGGGATTACAGTTGTGAGCTACTGGTACCTGGCAAACATTTGATTTTTAAAGGGGATTTTACTTTCTTGTGAATATCTTAAGACTGTTGGCTATACGCTCTTCCCACACGCTTTTTGGTGGTGGTGGTGGGGATGGGGCTTGATCTGGGCACTGTCCTTGAACTTTTGTGCTTAAGGCTAGTGCTCTACCACATGGAGCCACAGCTCCACTTTTGGTTTTCTGGTGGTTCATTGGAGATGAAGAGTCTCACAGGACTTTCCTGCCCAGTCTGGCTTTGAACTCGAATCTCAGATCTCAGCCTCCTGAGAGTAGCTAGGATTCCAGATGTGAGTTACCACCACCTGGTGCCCTGTTTGTTTAGTGTGTTCTCTGAGGGAAGGAGATAGCCCAGTGTGTCCTATTCTGAGCCATCAGTGCCTGGCTGAAATTACACTCTTTTTTTTTTTTGGTCAGTCATGGGGCTTGAACTCTGGGCCTAGGCGCTGTCCCTCAGCTCTTCAGCTCAAGGCTAGCGCTCTACCACTTGAGCCACAGTACCACTTTTGGTTTTCTGAGTGGTTTATTGGAAATGAGAGTCTCAGGATCTTTCCTGCACGGGCTGGTTTTGAACTGCAATCCTCAGATCTCAGCCTCCTGAGTAGCTAGGATTATAGGCATGAGTCACTGGCGCAGGCTGAAATTACACTCTTAAAAGAACAGGGCCAGGGCTGGGAAGGTGGCTCAGTGGTAGAGGGCTTGCCTTGCATGCATGAGGCCCTGGGTTTGATTCCTCAGCACCACATAAGCAGAAAAAAAAGCCGGAAGTGGCACTGTGGCTCAAATGGTAGAGCGCTAGCCTTGAGCTGAGGGGCAGTGTCCAGGCCCAGAGTTCAGGCCCCATGACCAGACCCCCTCCCCAAAAAAAAAAGAACAGAGCCAGGCACCGGTGGCTCATGCCTGTAATCCTAACTACTCAGGAGTCTGAGATCTGAAGATCATGGTTTGAAGCCAGCTTGGGCAGCAAAGTCCCTGTGAAACTCTTATCTCCAATTAATCACAGAAAAAGCTGGAAATGGAGGCTATGGCTTCATGTAGTAGCACATTAATTAGCCTTGAGCACAAAAACTCAGGGACAGCACCTAGGCGCTGAGTTCAAGCCTAGGATCAGCAAAAACAAAACAACAAAAACCTCAAAAACAAAATGAAAATTCCAAGTTGAAGTAAATAAATGATGAGCAGGTTCTCCTTTTTTTTGGGGGGGGGGCAGTACTTGGATTTGAACTCAGGACTTTTCCCTTGCTAGGCAGACGCTCTGTCACTTAAACCATGGTGCCCTAACCCAAGAAGTCCTTTGGGCCTGGTTCTCCTTGGGCTCACCTTACCACCCCACCCCCAGGCAAGGAGTAGGAGTGGCAGGTGAAATCTGGCACCGGGGCCAAATACAGGGTGCGAGAGATGGGCACTTACAGGCCTCGGGGCAGCAGCACTTGTCCGGGCAACAGGGGCATCTGACGTAGCAGCAGCAGGTATGCGGGCAGCACTGACACCAACAGATGGCTAGGAGGAGGAAGACGAGGAAGGCGGCCAGACATACCACGACCACAAACAGCCAATCTGTAAGCAAGAAGAGAGTGGGCCCTCATCCAAGAGATCCTGCAAAGAGACCAGGACAGAAGGGACAGGAATGGCCAGGGACAGACACACAGAACCAGCGGGACTATTTGCAAAGCTGTTAGAAAACCTGCTACCCTCACCACTAAAACCCATGCCCTTCCAATGCAGGCTGGCTCCTCCATGTTACAGGAGGGCGTCACTAGGACACAGAAGAGAAGAGAGACCGGCCTGCAGGAGGCGACAGAGAGCCATGGCCCCATCCACCCCTGGAGAACAGGGGACGGCAAGGGAAGGAATGCCAGTCACTCAAGAAACTGTATGCACCCCAGGCCCTCGGCCAGCCAGGAGAAGTATGGGGTATGGTTAGGGGAAGGGAAGAGGGTCTACCGCGAGCAGAGACGATGGAGTTGGGGTGAATACCAAAGACAGAATGTTCAGGGGACTCCAGAGAGAAATCCAACTTTAGTAGACGCCACGCGCCCCACCCCCACCCCCATACCTTCCATGGGCCCCGCCCGAAAATCAGGTAAGAGCTCAGTCACCACCCCTGAGGTCCTCCCTGGAGGGACAAAAGAAAAAGACAGATTATGCTGGCCTTAGCCAGCCAGGCCACCCCGCCCCAGGGGAAATGCCCTTCCTCTGGCCTCATCAGTGGGGGAGGGGGGGCAGAAATCTGGCCACCTTCCATGCTGCCAGAGGCACATTGCTCTCCCTGACCCCCAAACACATTCTCATGGGGTCCCTAACAGTGTGACCCCAGGACTGGCTTCTTCCATGGGCTCTAACCCAGGCGGCACAGCCCATACATGGCAGGGACCATCTTAGATTCTGCCAGAATGTTGAAGCTTTTCAAATCTGGAGCGGGGGAGGAAACACATATATAATACTGAAGTCTCGAGAATAATAACACAATCACTAAACAAGATTTTGTTTGTTGTGTTTGTCTTTATCATGGTTTAAAAAGTTTATGAATTCTATTTTATTTAATTTTTTTTGTCGTTCGTGGGGCTTGAACTCTGGGCCTGGGCGCTGTCCCTCAGCTCTTCAGCTCAAGGCTAGCGCTCTACCATTTGAGCCACAGCGCCACTTCCGGTTTTCTGGTGGTTTATTGGAGATAGGAGTCTCACGGTCTCTCCTGCCCGGGCTGGCTTTGAACCGCGATCCTCAGATCTCAGCC